AGAATACTCATTAAAATTCTGCACAGCAGTAGATCTCTAAATAATTCAGGAAATTCTTGGTAAACATCCTTGAAGATTTAGGATTAATTGGATTCTGTAGAACTAATCCATGGTGTTGGACTGTACAATGTTTGTGGCTGTAATTACAATGGGAGAGTGCCTACAATGTACATGTCCATGCGCTCCCATATCCCATACTGTGCATGTACTAGTACATGTACATGATAGTGGTAGGTTTACTAGCACAGTCGAATGAGAAAGGCAATCACACATGTACATGTAGCAATGGTGATCAAAGGTTGACCATACAGAATGGATGACACTCAGAAAGTTGTATCGATTCAGTCAGCATCTGTGGCATTTGGGACAAAAGCAGCATTCCAAGCTTGTTTCCAATAATCCTCACTCCATTACAAAGTAGACCATGCATGGAGGCAATACATAGTACAGTATCAAATGACAATAGGATGGATGGAATGCAATAGATGGCAAGTTAACAGATGAAACGTTCTGCAGACTGAGGTCAAAATCCAAAACCAACTAGGCCTAATAAATTAGCAATTAAAGAAAACTGTGTACGGAATTTCAAAATTACACAAATAAAAACTCACTGGGTATTGTTAAGTACATCCGGAATTCCAGCATACTCTAGATAGGATTGTTGAGTCCAACAGATTGCTCCTCATGGCGGCCCCAAGATGTCTAGCTCATTCCCATATCCTTCTCCATTAACTCTAGATTAAGGGCATTCAGCACTTCACCCATATTTACTCAAGCTGACAAGGTTCCAGTCTGCTTATGTCTTCAGCTGTGCACAATTTCTAAGTCAGTAATTAATGCTTCATCAGGTTTTCTTTGTCACTCACAATTACACAATATGCTCAATTTTTGTTCTGTACATTTCAAATGCCAGCGGCACCAGAAAGCAAAGAACAGCACACAGACAACTCTGGTGAAATACACTTACCGTATCTTTCCTGAAAGTCCTGGATTCCATGACCAAACTGCAGAAATATGTGCAGCCTACAGTCTAATTCTATCAGGTGACAACTGTCATGGTTACAAGTGGTTAAATGTCAAAATAGCTGAACACAATGTACATACCAACACTCTACGTGTATGCACCACACAGTACATGTACATGATCAAATACACTTGGGTTCCACCAATAGTAGGCACGAGGCCCACTGTACCTTTTTCTCTCAGTCATGTCAGTGGGCATAGTCTGTAGTGTAGATGATCTTATACCTGTACTGACTGACATCCCTGCAATTCTTGTCATAAGTTTGATACCAATACCATACAAAGAAGGCCTTTATGTACATTTAACAAAAATACAAACACTTTAGTGCACAGAACTGTCTTCCAAGTTCCAGAAATAATTTACCCGAACATGTGGAACAGGTTTGCAGACCTAAACAAATCCAGGCATGACCCTCTGATTTTCACCCCCTACCAGTTACCCTCAAATCAGGCGGACCAAGGCTAGCCATTTTTCTGTAAGCAATAAAAACCGAATACAGTCCATAAATTTGTAATAGACTGAAGCACTGCGTAGTAACAGTGTGCCAATATTGCAGGATAAGAGGTCTGCACATCACACACAGTACTGCCCCCTACCAGGCATTGTCTGGCTGCATGGTTTCATTTCATTTTAGTCACTTTAATCACATCTTATGCCATGCCTAACATACATGTAGTTGTACAAAGACTGCATGAAGAAATGCTCTACCTACTCAGGTCTATCGGGTGTACCCGGTACCTAGATGTACTGAGGACCTGTATGTGAAACACAACTTAATTCAATTTCCCTTAATCACTGCTCCACAAAACATGTCCAATGTAATCTATGATATGCAACCCAATGGCTTAATTCACTGCAAAAGAAAGAAAATGGATTGACCATTCAATTTCACCCAGTGATGAATCTACTTCTGTATTCCTCCTGACAAGACTATGCATGTACATGTACCATTAGGTCTGCATTTCATCATTTAGATCACAGTCTGCAGACACATGTGATCACTGCATAATGTCAGCAATGTTTGTTAGCATGCCTGATAAAGAGCCTTCATGTTTATGATACAAATAGAAGATGTCCAGAGATTTACCAGTACATTCAGGCAGTGTTCTTGTACAGGTACATGAATATTTGGTTAATGCACCCATTTCTATAAATAAGGGATTTCAAAATGTGGCATTTTATATCGCTGTTACACCTGACCTGCGTAATTTTACATGGAAATATCATTGAAACTTACTTAAAACTATTTTTATTTCCTTGGCTGGTAACATGTACATCGGTAGGCCTACCGTACATGTACACACACCTGTTTCCTGACTCTGCATTAGCACTCAACATCTCTGATGCAGTTTATGTACATGTATACTGCTTCACTGGTGCATTTCAAACCAATCATTTAACAGAAGGTTGATGTGCAGCAAGCTATCGCTAATCCCTTTAAGTCACACAGGGTGAAATCCTAGAATGCCTAGCATGCATTGGTGCAGGTAATGAGCTTTCAGTGAGATTTATTTACTTTGTGAGGTAAAGACCATTGAACTACATGGTAAATGTAGCTGGTAAATGTACACTGTACTGGAATGTACATGTATTGTATCGGCCCCTTGAATTTTGATGAGGTTTCCTGCCAAACTCAACAGAATTCTGGCAAAGCAAAATTTACCAGAGCATGTACAGGAGTGTGTCACTATAAATCCACTGCAACAAAACGCACTTTGTTTTTGTTCTGCTGTGCTCAAAAAGCAACGGTATGAAGGTTTTCTTTAGAACTGTTTGGGACATTGTTATCTGTGGTGTTTGAGGAGCAGGGCAGTGTAAATGCATAGGTGGTGAGTATTTGCTCAAAGACTGAGGATCTTCTGCTCTCATGGAAAACATCAACTGGATTCTAAGTCTGAAATGGAATTAAAAAGTGTAATAGATGTACTTGTACACTGTAGCCAACCACTCTAGTCTGCGTACTGATAAAATGATACAAATTATGAAAAAAAATCCTTGCAGTATTTTGTTCACTCAGACAGAAATGTACACGTTTGTTCACTGTACCTGCACATTGACATGTACATGTACATTCTGTTGAAGTTTTTGGACAGATTTATCCATGTACAATGCAATGTCTCTCAAAACTTGTTTCCAATTATTGGCTCTACACCCTATGCACTGTTGCTTCATGTACCGGCACATACATGTACATGTACATGATTTTATGAAATAAATGCATTAACCTGTCTCACACTAAAGAACATGGATCCACTAAACTTCCAAAGTAAAAGTGGCCCTTACATGCAAAACTCAAGCCAAAAATCAGCTAAAAAGCTGAATTCCCACACCTCTGAACAATGTATACAGTGCTTGGGCGATCATTGGGCAGTGGGCGACCTACAGTGTACACGTACATGTACATTCTACACTGTAAGCACTCCCTATACATGTATCACAGACTATGGGGCTGTAGGATCTATCTCTATAGATCCACAGAAGCCCTTTAGTTCAAGGGGCTCATGTACATGTACAAGAGGCAGAATGCTGCTCGATAACCCTCAACAACTCATTCTCCCAATTTCTTTTCATTGCAAAGTGCATCCTCAACATTTTGATGCAGGCCTTATTTCCAAAATTCGGAAGACGAAACAAAGTAAAGAATTATTGAACAGACTGGCTTTCACTAAAGCAAAGATTAAGCAACAAATGGCAACAGCAATATCAAAATTGCCTGACAGCCATTCAATCAATGTAAACATGACACGACAAACTTTCACAAACTGCTGTCCTTGTCTTAATTACTCATTATATTTCACTAAGATTTATAACTATTTTTTTTTCAATAATCCTCAGTGAACGTTGAAATTGAAATCATCACAGAAAAGGTGTACACTTCATAATAAAAATTTGTACAAAAATACATGTATTCCCAACGGCAACCTTCCCCAACCACCACCCATCAGGGCATTACAAAAGGTGTGCAGTTATGAAGTATTAATTTGTAGCAAGCACTTGACAAGTTAACATGGTTAATATGCGTATTCTTACCCCCCAGAACTGTGGGGTCCGACATGGGAACCCAAAATGTTCTGGGGGTACAAAATCTCTGATAGTACGGTAGTCACATGGTCCTAAGTGGCAAGTGCCTCTCTCAAGTTACCAGATAAACTGCATAATGGGAAATCCTACATCATGCACTAGCATGCATGATCAGCAGATCGGATGCGGAGTGTCATTGTGTGTGATGCTAAAAACATGCCAAACAGCACGTCATTCGTCGTATCGCAGCTCACACTACCCCCAGAACTGTGGGGTCCGACGTCCGCTCCCACACACACAGGACACATGTTGAAGTACCTAGGCCTAATTAGTAAAGATTACCACAGTCTCAAGACAAATTTTAGTAAAGTGCACTGTTACAAAATTGGCACATAAAAGTTGCAGTGCTTGAAACTGAATCCTTTTTTTAAAGCTCCATGCTTGAACTTACAGATTTAACCAGTCTGACAAGTGACAGTCGCATCAGACACCCGCAAGTTGCAACCCAAACCAAGCTACTAAGCCGCAGGGTAGCAACGTTGTTGACATCTACACCCATCACCCGCTCACTTGCACTGCTTCTTACGTTTTGAAATGACGTCTAGGTACTGCAAAACACAACTAAAGAGAGGGACCAGTCCATTTCACCTGTATCAATGCGCGCGCCGGGGTTACCATAATAATTTGGATTTACAAAAATACAGGAAACCGAAAATATCTATTCTACTGATGAGAGGCTGTCAGTTATCTCAAACGATCCAACTATATATTTCTATTTTTCTTTTACCTGGGTAAATTCCTCGTTTGTAGCTACCTGTATCTTTACCTGTGGCGATGAGAGAACACTAAGCGGTGCTCAGTGAGACGCCCTCTATAGTTAATGAGCTGAGGGAGCAAGGGCCTAAGGAAGGGAGGCTGTGATTGGCTGGAAGAACATGTGCGCTGGAATTCGAACGCATAGCTGATCAACACTAAGTGGGCACCAGAGATCTGAAAATTGAGATTCGAAGTGAGGCGTTTTCCTACTACAATATTACACCTTCTTGTGTGACTGATCGACTCAAGTTAATCATCATGAAACCATCGTAAGTATCCAGGAATAATTAAAGTGTATGCTCGTCAATTATGACCATAAACATCCGCTATACGTGACCGATTTCGTCTTGAAAGTTGAACAGTTGAGTTTCATCTCTTGTCGCATATAGATGTACGGTACGTGTACAGTATGTCATTACATGTACATGTATGCAGTCGAGTCATGTCAATAATGAAGAAATGTTTCGGAATTTTCTTTGCTAAATTTCACATTAAGGCATGTAAGCACGGTAAGGGAAAATTAGTGTTGTCTGTCAACATGGTCGAGTAGGTTTTACAGTCACTTCGCCCATTTTTCCACTTCCCTCACAACAACATCACCCACAGGCCACAACCACTTCGCCCATTTTCCACTTTGCCCATTTGCCACTTCGCCCACGTGCCACTTTGCCCACGCTGTACATGTACATATCCGACAGAATGCACGGCCGAGGCACCTTCCTTAAATGCTTAACTTCACTTATAAAACTTTTAAAAGTTGAAAATTTTAAGTATCGCGGCATTTTAACAAGTAAGTGTTACCAGCAGATTATGTTAATGGAGAGAGTATATGTATATATGAATGATACATGTATGTGGCAACCACTCTTGATTGAACAGATCCATCGTCATTTCTAGACATGTATCTATTTTTTTTCTGTTTCTTTTCTTGTTCCTTTTGGCTATTGTCAAAGTAGTCCTATAAAAGTACAAGTCTCACACATGCACCACCACATGCTCATGCATCACTCAACTGACCACGTTTCTTTTGCTGAATCCTCATCTGAAACGAGGCTAACTTGAAAATGGGTTATGGGCAATCAGGACAATGACGCAACTTTTAACTTTTATAACTTAAGTGAAGTTAAGGTACATGTACGTGCCTTGGCAGTGGATTCTGTCGGATATGTACAGCGTGGGCAAAGTGGCGCGTGGGCGAAGTGGCAAATGGGCAAAGTGGTAAATAGGCAAAGTGACCGACACCCTCGAGTAGGGGCGTATGTTAACCAACAGTACCTACTGAGCACCGGTCATCATGGTCATGCCAGTAGGCCATGAAGGCCTAGGGCTACACTTGTTTTTCTTGTCAGACTCGTAATATAATTATTGAATACTTCTTCACAATATACAGTAAGCCTTTCTTTGTCAGTGTACATTTACATATTTATTATTTATTTTAAAATCCATGACATTTCAACAATTTTTGTATTAAGTTATGTCCATGAAAGCATGAATAAATGAGTAGGCCTACACAGGGGCCTACATAGCTCACCCCACTAGTGTGGCACAGACTCTTGCTACCAGTCCATCCTTAGCCATACATCCGTATATATGCAATTTGCATGTCGCCTTAGTGAAAAAGTCCGGCGCACCCTCTTATAATCGTAGGCGCAATTGTTTGGCACACAGAGATGATCCTTAGCCTCTCCGCTTTCTTAGCGCCATTTATTGAATGATTTCACTCACGTTGTTCTGGTATTTTCCTGTCTTCTTGCCTTCACCCATTCAATCTCACGGGCTCGCTGTGACAGTCGCCATCTTTAAAATAAGGTCGTTGAACAATACATCACTTGACCCCTCATCGTCTCAATGGCTGTTCCATGTCAAGATATCTAAACTGCTGCCAAAATGTTGGAAGAGCCCATCAGTACATGTAGTATCTTATTGCTCAGTCCCTGTATTAGGGGATATCAGGCAAACTCGTCCTGTGTGGTTGGGCACATCTCAGAATCTTCACCAATGTTGAGCAATTTATTATACATGTATGTTTCATAAACAGACGGGGTAAAACTCCAAAGAAACCACCACGCAAAGCTCAGAACAAAGACCCAGTCGAGGTAAGTGGTGTTGTCGAGTTACTGTACGTGTACATGTACATGTATACATATTTTACATGTACATGAACGTGTACGTACATGTACATGTAAGCAAGCAGATATTTTTCCGAATGGAATGCCTTTCAAGACAATCAAGTAGAAAGTGCAGGTGCATTTTGTGCAAAATGAAACTGAAACTGACAAGCAGTTTGTGTTTTCTTTAAATTTACACACGTGTGCTTTATGGCTCAAAATACCTGTTGTGTCTTTAGAATGAGTCTGGTGGGAGGATTAGCAAGCATTGGCAAACAAGGTGTCCATATTTACAATGTACATGTACCTTGAAGTGTAACAAGGTGTCCATATTGCCATGCTGTAATGCTTTTCCTGTACGATACATGTACATTGACAGTATGCAACAGAATAAGGTGTCCAAACTGGTTCACCCCTAGAGCCACATGCACGGGGATTATCTGGAACGAGACAAGGCCCAGTGTTCCACGGGTACAAATGGGCTTACATTAATGTACACACGTATGTGTACAAGTATAGGGAATCCAAAAGACGGAAATACACCCTTCAGTTCCAGTCTAGTGCTTCTGTCGCCAAATTTTCAAAGTGACAATGGTTTCTTTTGTACTGTATATCACAGGATATAATGGAAGTCTTAAAGATGCATGATTTCAAACTTGTTTTGGTGTAAGGTGTTTGAAGATGAAACTGCCGGAGCCTATTTGCATCCCTATGTTCATTATTACATCATACACTAGTACCGTACGTACCCTGTCTAGGGATTCAAAGGGTCATCTTTGTAAGCTCATGGTAACTTTTATTTCCATTTAAATGTGCACGTACATGAACCATAGATCCAAGAGTACATTTGATTTGTATAAACTAACTAATATATGACATACTGGTACAGTACAACTCTAATTAAATGATGACATTGTAGGTCTACTGCCGGCTGCGTCCCATCAGTGATGATCTAGACAGCTGTGTCACCATTGTCAATAGCAACACCATTCAGTTGAAGCCACCAGAGGTAGGTTCTGAGAAAAAAACTGGATTGGAATTTGTTGAAATTCAAACTTCATGAAATTATATGTATCTACTTTAGGCCTAGTGACTTGGGGATGATAACATTTTCTCTTAAAATACTGTACTTTTCATCTTTATGTTTTTCAGATTTCCTTGGCTGTCAAGAATGGAAACTACAAAGAGGTAAGATGTACCAAGGCTCACAAAGTTACTTTAAAAAGGAACCTGTACTTTGCTACATGTAAGGTCCACAGATCTGGGGAATCCTGCGGAATTCCTCAGTTAACTGCAGCAGCATTCTACAGTCCCATTCTGAGATGATTGGTGGTTCTATACATTTACATGTTTGTGGTATGTTCTCCATTGCTGCCTGGGGATCTCGAGGTGGCAGGTAGGCTGAGGCCTTGGGAATGATGGATCTGTTGGATCTCTTAACACTGATCAGGCCTCTCACCTTCTGAAGTATTTAGATGTAGGATTTCTAACCAAAATACATGCTCCGTGGAAAATTGCATCTATGTGTAGGCAGGATGACAGCAAGAATATTGTGCAGCATAGAACTTAAAGGTACCCTGGAGGCCAATAACATTCTAAAGAAACACCTACAATGTTACACATTTACCAGTCATGTTTCGAGAAATTCAATTTAAATGTGATAAAGCATTTTTATTGATTTGCTTGATACTGTGTATTTTAATATTACACGATTGGGCAAAGATCCACTACCTTTATGGTTGATTTTTAAAAACTATTTGTCTATTCAGACGAAGCATACCTTCAAGTTTGTCTTCCCCGAGCAAATATCGCAGAAGGCATTGTTTGACCACGTGGCACTACCCCTCGTGGATGATCTACTCCATGGAAAAAACGGTAAATAGAAATATCTCCAGAAACAGGAATGTATACAAAGAGATATATAAAGACGTGGAGTCCATCAAGCTCTGTTACCCTGGTACCTACATGAA